GCGACAATGTGTTGGTTGGTAGATAACTCTGTGTCGCGAATTTAGCGGTGTTGTAAGTGACTTTAGCATGTGGGCTTGGTCGAGTTAGTTTCTCCGGTTAGGCGACTTTATAGTCGGGCCAAGGTGACTACGTGTAGGGGCTTAGGTATCTCTTTTTGAGTGATTTGAGGCTTTGGGCGACTTAGTGTATTGGGATACTCTAGCATTGCGGCGACTATGTGTTGGTTGGCAGGCAATTATGTAGCGATTTTAGGGGTGTTGTAAGCGACTTTAGCATGTGGGCTTGGTCGAGTTAGTTCCCCCGGTTAGGCAACTTTGTAGTCGGGCCAAGGCGACTACGTCTAGGGGCGTAGGCAACTCTTTTTGAATGATTTGGGGCTTTGGCGACTTAATGTATTGGGATACTCTAGGATTGTGGCGACTATGTGTTGATTGTTAGGCGACTCTGTGTTGCAATTTTAGGGGTGTTGTAAGCGACTTTAGCATGTGGGCTTGGTCGAGTTAGTACCCCCGATTAAGCGACTTTGTAGTCGGGCCAAGGCGACTATGTCTAGGGGCTTAGGCAGCTCTTTTCTAGTGATTTCGGGTTTAGGGCGACTTTGGCCGTTTTAGTGTAGCAACTTTATGTGTGTAGGGTTGTCTGAACGGCTTTAGCGTGTGAGCCATGGTAGAGTAGACTCGCTGCGGGGGCACGGTGGGACTGCCGTGACAGGGGAGCGAGTTAGTTCCCTCCGCTTAGCCGACTTTGTTGTCGCGCGAGGCGACTGTGTGTAGGGGCTTTGGCAGCCTTTTTTGTTGATTGAGGCTTTGGGCGACTTAGTGTATTGAGATGCTCTTGGTGTGGTGACTATACGTGGGTTGGTAGGCGACTCCGTGCCTACAAACAAAAATGTCTGAAATTCTTCAGTTGAAAAGATGCCTGCATATTCAAAAGATGCCTGCAATAATGTCTGAAACTACAATTAAGATGCCTACGTATCACCCAGAACTGCCTACAAACAAAATATCTGAAAACTTACAGTTGAAAAGATGCCTACAATAATGTCTGGAACTATAATAATTCCTTGAAGATAAACCGAGGCTGCTCCCTATGAAAAGGCCAGCCCTACACTTACACATGCTTATTGTTCACTCAGAGAGAAGTGGCTATGCTCAAATACTGCACTTTGCTAAATCTGCACATCTACTGAATTCAAAAATAGATAAAAAAAGATAGAAAATTCAGAGCAGCCATACTATTGCATGATTTCATCTAAGGAACCTTCGCTAGATCTGTACGACAAACATATATCTCAAGCAAAAAGGTAGGAGCATATCCCAGCACAGATAATAGAGCGAACTTTTGACTGAACTTCACTTTTTAACAGTACTAAGAATATCAGGAGGGAATTTCCAGAATAATACAGACTTGTGCTACCACATATTCTAGAGAGATCAATTTGTAACTCCTGCTTACAGTAACAGATAAAAAAGCTAGAAAAACACGTTGTATTGCCTGAAAAAAACACCATATTACCTGGAAAAAACATATTCTAATGCCTAGAAGATGGCAGGTGCTCTGTGTGTTTCTCTTTGGTTGGTTAAAATGTAGGCAAGTACGGAGAACATAATTAGGCAAAAATCAAAGTAGAAAACTAGGTCATGCAGCAGTAGAGACACGCACAAAGTTATATATGATGGAAAAAAGGGAGAAAAAAGGTTAAAAAAAATCGGAGCTTCAATTGATAGATCTCCGTTTTGTGTATTATTACTTACTTATTCACATCGGCTGAGCTTCTTTGTCGCCCAGTTGAAGTTTGTCTACATCACTTCCGACAAAGTTGCCATTCTGGAAGTATGTCTATTCACACATAAGAGAAAAAAGAAGTGGCATAGCTTATATGTTAGTGGGACAAAACATGATGCTGATGTAGGCAACATATCTTATCACACGTAGTGTGTGGTGGCTTTATGTTGCAAATCAACTTCACATCCAAAAAAAATTAGGAAGGAAAAACCCAAGCAATGCAGTACTAAGTAATTTTTGCCTACTGTTCCTCTACAAGTGAAGTGTTTTTTCCTACTTTATGTCATGCAGTATACTAAGTAATTTTTGCCTACTGTTCCTCTACCCTCTGTAGCTTGTATTGCCTCAAAAAACAAATTGTATTGCCTAGAAGAAACATATTACTATTTGCCTAGCAGATAACGCATATTATTTCATACTGTATTGCCTAAATACATATCCTATTTGCCTGGGGAGTGGGGAACATGACCTTATTTTCTTGAAGATGGGTGCTCTTTGTGTTTTTCTCCCAGGGATATAGGCAAGCATGGAGGGTTCTTTGTGTTCGTTCATACAATTGGGCATCAATTTCTCTCTCGATTCACCCCTCTACCTCCATCCTTATCCCTATCACCGCCGTGGGTACCGACGACACATTGGCGACCAAATCTACGCACGTTTCGTTGTGGACGAAAAAACAGGAGGGATGGCCTGCATCTGATACTCACCTCCTTCCCCCCGGAGACGTAGCACTCCGCCTTGCTGACGCTCGCCATCCTCAGGCCGCTGACCAGCTTCTCCTGTCCCGATCTGTCCTCACGTGTGTGCGCCCTTCGCCTGCCGATGCGGTGCCCATCTACCGCCGGCTCGCACCCCGTCCCCTTGGCCCGTCGTCGCCGGACTACGCCGGACAGGCTCGCCAAAGAAAGGATTTCATCTCCCCTAGTCGCTGCACGGGGTGAGAGAGAGAGGGGGGAAATGTGCGTCTTCCAGCGTGCACGGCTGGATCGCGCGCGTGCGTCGCCCAGCGTTTGGGTTGTGACACAGTATCTCGTTCGGTCACGAGCCCGGGTCCGGCTCTCGCTCGAAGGGGGCAAAGCTCAAATCGTTCGGTCACAAGTCCGGGTCCGGCTCTCGCTAGAAGGGGGCAAAGCTCAACCTATATAACTGCGTCGACGGCAGTAGCTTTCCCCGTGCACCATACTACGCCCCCCTCCAGTCTACCTCCACCCACCGGATCATTGGAATCCAGTTCGCGAGAAGATCGGCGACACCGCGCACCGAGCATGGCAGCTGACCAGCACCGCCGCGCACCGAGCATGGCAGCCGACCAGCAACGTCGCGTGAAGCTGATAGTTAGCTACGGCGGGAGGATCGAGCGCGCCGAGGGTCGGCCGCCGAGGTACGTCGGCGGCGAGCATCTGCTCCTCAACGTCCTTTCGTCCGTCTCGACGAGGGGCTTCCGCGACCTGCTGGCGGCGCGCGCGTGCTTCTCCAACTTCTCCGTCAAGTACTGCTACTCCGGCGAGGGGCTGGACTCGCTCTGCGACGTGGACACGGACGAGGACCTCCGGGACATGCTGGACATCTTGCTCTACCGGGACCTGCAGGCCCGGCTGTTCAACGACCAGAACACGCGCAGGTTCCGGGTCTACCTGTTCCGCGACGCCGCCGCCCCGTCGCCGACCTCCCAGGCCCTCGGAAAACCAGCTCCCATGCGGCGTAGCGCGACGTCGCCAGCTCTGTTGTCGGCGAAGCCGGCCGACGTCGGCGGGCGGCCCTCCCATGGCCTGGCCGCTCCCGCTCCCTCTCTGGTGCCGCGGATCACGACGTCGCCGAATCCGTTGTGCGAGACGTCGACGGTTGGCACGGCGCCCTCCAAGCCGCCGCTCGCCCCCACTCTCGCACGGCGGATAGCGTCGTCGCCTTTGTTGACGGCAGACTCGACAGATGACACGCCTTCTTTGATCACCACCACGTCGACATCAGCAGCCAGAGCTACGCAACATACACCACCCCACGCGGCGGCGTTCTGGCCGGCAGAGCAGCATAATCCGGTGTACCAGGCGGCTCCAGTATTCTTGGTGCCATTAATGCCGCAGGTCATAATCCACCGGCCGGCGGTCATCCTCGTACCCATGTTCAATTCAAAGGTGGCCATGGGCTGAGAACTTTTGGAGTCACAATCGAATATGAAAATACTCACTCAAGTGAGAATTAGCAATCCATAGTTTGTGTAGATTAGATCTCTCACAGGTTGCAGATATGAGGCGACAAATCAAAATTCTAGATTGATCAGTGATTATGCACTATGGGATGTAACTTATAGGCGTGACTTCAATTTTTCTTATAGTTTACTCTAAATTGTTTATATATTTTATAATTAATGATGTCAAATCCTCTATATTCAGTGTTAGTATCACCACAAGGTTGAATGGTGGTTGAGAGAGAGAAAACAATTTCACAAGGATGACAAGCAAGGGTTTGACACGTTGCTCATTGCGAGCAGCGGCGAGTTTACTAGACAGGCTTAAACAGGCTCAAGCCTGCCCTCCAAAAAACAATACTTTTTTACTAGTACTACTACTACTTTCATCCCAGCTCAATAGAACATATATTATTGAGACATGCACAGCGGACAGGCATCTCAAATGAATGCCCAGCCTCCAATTATTGTGTAATTACTAGTTCATGTACCGTTAACCAATTTAGTGTCCAATGCAACTTATTTGCAAAAAAAAAAGATACAAAATATGAGTATGCATGCATGTACCCCTCACGCTAAACCTGAACCTATCCCATGTAATATGAACCCAGATACCCTTCCCTTTGCTATTGTGATTGTAATCCCTCCTCCAACTTATATGGACAACAAAATAGAGAGATAATGGTTATTTTGCAAGATAAATTCAAATTTTTGTTCAAAATTTCATATGTTTTTAAAAAAATCCTAGAAAAAATCTAGTTAATGCCAAAAAAAATACTAATTTGGGAAGTTCTAAGCTTATTTTGACAACCAGATTAAGGCATCATGTTTAATTTTTTCTTCAAAAGAGAGTTTAGTTTTCTCGCCGTTGACTTAAGCCTACCCTTCATTTTCTTCCTTGATTCGCCACTGATTGCGAGCATGTGGGTTCTTTGGAAGCAACGCAATGCTAGGATTTTTAACGGAGTCGACCAACAAAAGGATGCTAGGGAGCTTGCCGCTATGATCCTTGGTGAGGTAGCCGAGTGGCGGCAAGCAGGTGTTGGTGTTGGTGGCCTGCAACGATTTGTGAGGAGTTAGTTTAGGCGTCCTAGGTGGTGTTGGTGTCGTGTTTGTGTGGTCGTGTGTGCGCACTCGAGCCACACTTCTTTTTAATTATGCTTTCTACCTTTTATAAAAATATGGTACGCCATTGGCGTATTCTCAAAACAAAATGTTAGTATCACCATGTGTGTACATCCAACTTTAGTGTGCCTTTTTTGAACTACACGCTGATCTTGTATAGTGCAATCTCTTTAGACGAGCTTCGCTTTCAATATTTTATGTTTTAACATGTGGATATTTGTTTTGGCTCCGGCCCTATATGCTACTGAAATGTGCACAGTCCATCTTCTTATAGCTTCGTGCGTCAAGTTGTATTGTCCTTTATATTACACAATATGCTCTCCGTTTTGAAACAATAACGTGGCCCATGTCTGGTCCTTATTAGACGAGCGTAGTCCGTTTGTTTGTCGTTGGTCTAGACGGGGACGAGACACTCATGTCCCACGTCTTAATGTTTTGCATAGTTAAGTGAAATAAAAAATACCAAAGAAAACAACTCGCTGATGGAGGTGTCGGTATTGGAGGAATCAATAGGTAAGTTATGTACTCCCTATGGTACCATGGTGTCCCTAGATGGAATAACACAACATACCTTCAGAAATATTGAACCGCCAAAGAATCCTCTACTCACACCACCGTCAATATTAAAACTACAGAAGGTATGTAATTTCAATGAAAGTAATTATCCTCATAATTTGTGCCCATCGATGAAAAATGGCAGGGGCGGAGGCATGAGCCAGGTAGGGACGGGCGCCCGTATGTCTCGCTGTAAGCGAGACAGAAGGCAAGCCTCGCGTCGGGGAAGCTCCAGAAGGGCCGGCTCAGCCGCGCAGGAGGCTACATCCTCCTTTACTATTTTTTTACATTTTATGTTTTCTTTTTTGCTTTATTTTTTTACTTTTGTTTATACTTTAAAATTCTAAATAAATATTACAAAACAATCTATAAAAAACATTAAAAAATATTGAGCAAGCATTTGAAATATTAAACGTGTATATAGAAAATATTTATCATGTATAAAAATGTATTAAAAATTGACCATATATTTGAAAAATGTTAATCAAGCATTTGAAAAACGTTTGAATAAGTATCTGAAAACTGTTAATCAAGCATTTGAAAAAAGTTAAATGTGTATAGAAGGAGCGTTGAGCATGTATTAGAAAAATGATGAAATGTTTTGATCATGAATACAAAAAATGTTAATCAAGAATTTCAGAAAATGTTGAACAACTATTTGAAAAATGTTAATTAAGCATTTGGAAACTATTAACTGTGTATAAAAAAGTTGATCATATATTAAAAATGATGAAATTTGTTTACCATGTACATAAAAATGTTAATCAATCATTTAAAAGAATGTTGAATAAGTATTTGAAAAATGATAATTAAGCATTTGAAAATGTTAAATGTATAATGAAAAAATGTTGACCATATATTTGAAAAATGAAGAATTTTCTAATCGTGGATATAAATTTTTTAATCAAACATTTTAAAAACTATTGACCAAGTATTTAAAAAATGTTGATCAAACATTTGGAAATGTGTACAGAAAAAAAGTTGACCATGTATTAAAAAACGTTAAACTTGTATTTGAAAGAGTTGTTCTATGTTGACACTAGAGAAACAAATTTAAATCAAGAAGAGGCAACGGCTATCGTTTCGTTCAGAAAGGTGAAGCGTTCCCTACCGAAATCATCAGGCTTGTTGTGAGAAGTTCTGATTTGTGAGAAGGTTATACCCAAACCTGGCCCAAATGGGACAAAAATTTTACGACGACATGTTGATGCCGCTCCATGATAGCATGCCATGTTTCATGAATTACAGACAAGTTTTGGATTTACTAGAATTTAAAAGTCAGGTATCACAATTGTCGGTGTCAAAACCGGCGGATCTCGGGTAGGGGGGTCCCAAGCAGTGTGTCTTAGGATCAATGGTAACAGGAGGCAAGGGACACAATGTTTACCCAGGTTCGGGCCCTCTCAATGAAGGTAAAACCCTACCCCTGCTTGATTAATATTGATGATATGGGTAGTACAAGAGTTGATCTACCACGAGATTAGATAGGCTAAACCCTAGAAGCTAGCCTATGGTATGATTGTTGTTGTATATCTATTGACTAGCCTGACCTCGGTTTATATAATGTACCAGAGGCCTAGGATAACAAGAGTCCTAGCCGAATACGTCGGTGGGGGAGGAGTCCTTGTCTTGATCGCCAAGTCTTGTGGAATCTTCCTTGTATGCGGCAACTGTCCGGACTGGCCCATGAGTATACGGCCATGGGGATCCTCGGCCCAATCCAACTGATCGGGAGACGACGTGGTGAGTACCCCCTAATCCAGGACACCGTCAGCAGCCCCCTGAACCGGTCTTCAAGTTGGGGACGCTCCTCGATTCTTCCGAACTGTTCTTCATCTTCGGTCGTCGGTCTTGAAAACTGGTTTAACAAATCTTTTCATCTTCGATCTTGAGGATCGCCTAAGTGCATACGAAGAGTTTACACGTTGGGTATCCGAGGAGCCCCGTTAAGTTTACGGCCTTTATCAATGCCTTGTTATTTTTATGCCATGCCTTGGGTTTGAAGTTATTCCCAGGAGGCAGTGTCCTCTTGCGTCCGAGCTCTAACGCCGGACTGCATTCGAGGTATCTTTTGCAGCTGAGCACCAATGCCGGACTGCTTCCCAGCTCTATCGCCGGACTATGTATCCGAGCTCCAACGCCGGATGGTATACGAGCTCCAACGCCGGACTATGTATCCGAGCTCCAACGTTGGACTGTATCCGATGTGTCGTCAATCACCTTGGTTCAAAGAAGTTTGAAGGAGTTTAGCCGAGCTTAATGCCGGAAATGCCCTCTATGGAGCCAGCCACTAGCGTCCGAGCTTTATGCCGGACTGCTTCCAAGGTGGTGCACCACCTCGAATGTGGGCCGATTTTTGTCAATATTTTTGATTGGTGCAATTTATTCTCTGCCGAGATACATAGCCATTAGCCCTCAAGGTGGGTATCGGTCTTAAAACCCGAGATGCACATGAAGGATGACATAAGACCGCTGATCCCCGTAGCCGCTGAGACTCAGGTTGATTTGCAAAATCGGTCTGAGGATCAAGTCCTAGCTCGGCAGAATACTTCGGGACACAAAAAGCGGCGTGCTCAGTCCTCGAGACTCAGGTTGGGTGCGGCCGACCAACCTGAGGATCAAAATCTCCTCGGAAACTGTATTGCACTTAAAATTTTCTGCATAGAACAGGCAATGCAGTAGCCACCGAGACACTGGTCGGGTGGCAACACCAGATCAGGGGATCGATGTGCCCCTTTAATATTTGTAAATAATAAGCTCGAAGCCCAGTAGCCCCCGAGCCTTAATGCGGGCACGGGAGACCGAATTAAGGATCGATATCCATAGTAAAATCACAAATTATGTGTAATGACTCTATGTATCCAAGTACTTTACGTCATTAATGCTCGGATCCGCATTGTACAAAACTTTGTTGACCGACCATCGGCTTCCACCTCCTCGGTCAATAGCCGAGGAGTGTTTGTCCTACTTTATAAAGCCTTTATGAGGGCAAAGATTTAAAACAAACAAGGCAATCTGGCCATACGGTTTTATAAACAAAGGTACGCGGAGAGACATGTTATATTACTGTTTAATAGAAGAAATGTCTTCCAAAAGAAAATAGTTCCGCTATCGGTTCCTTTCTTTGGGTTGTCATGCTAAGCATGATCATGAAACCTCAGCTCCAATGTA